CAAGCTAACTGCCTCGCATTTAAGGCTTCTTATAGGTTTCTACATTGCACGACATGGATTACACAGGACAAGCTCCTAGTATTTCCTTAAGACTAGCATGGCTGTAGTAGCTGCTTTTCAGCCCTTTGGCTGTGTGTGGAAAGATGTTTGGAGCTTTAGAATGACATTAAACACAAATTATATAAGTGATATTTGTATTTCAAACCCTGAGCAGAACCAGGAAGTTAGTTTTTTTTTGGATGGCAGCCTCCTGTCGTTGGATGTTCCTCATGATTATGCAGCTTTTACACAAACCCAATTCATGCATTATTATAAAGTTTTGTGTGTTTCACAAGGACTGTATAAAAAGTGGACGTAGTCTCGGTAACGTTTCTAAAGATCAACTGGTGAAGCCCAATATGGCGGTCTCCGTATTAGGAATGTTGAGTTCAGCCAAAGCGACAAAAAAAGTTTGAATATGGGCTTAGTTGGGGTTGCCTTGGCCTTTTTAAGTTGACACTTGATGAACTTTTTGAACAATTTTTGTTGCATTTTCAGAAACTGGTGGTCAGCTCATGGTGTTTCATTGTTGGTAAGATTCAGAAAAGCAGTTTAAATGCTAAGTTTGGCGTGAGATACTGTACATTTTGTAAAATCTGAAAAGGATGTAGGTTTACATTATTTTAAAACCGTCCCTCACTCTGATCAATTATTTTCAATTATTTCCCCTTTAAAAATGTAAAGCCATGAAGAAAAGCTGGTGAGAGGAGTGGGGAAAGGGTAAAATAGAGACAGGAGGGAGAGGAGAGCGGAGGAAAGTGAGGTAATTGGGAATCATGTGGCCATGTTACACAGTGTACCCGGAGATTCCTGACAGCCCCGCTCTGCGTCCTCACGCCTCCAGCAAAGAGGCCAAGTAGTGAGGTAAGGAGGAACAGAGGGACACGAGTATGAGAGTCTGTCAGAAAGCGCCCGGAGGTCGGAAAATTCAGTAAACTAAACAGAGAAACTTCTCAGCAGCAAGCTGGCAAAGAGAGCTGCAAGGGAGAGGGCAGATAGAGACACACAGAAAAAAAAGAAACTGGACCAGAACAAAGCACATGTGGTTGAAATGATGTAGGTTAGAGCAATAATTTACCTGCCCACTTTCCCACTTGACAGACCTCTAAACAGATCACCCACTACTCCTCATATCTAAACCACTTGAGGGAGGAGTACATGTTTGCAAGTAAATTGTGTTTTAGTGGTCTGCATGCCTCTGGACCCCAAAGCACATGAGTGTGATGAGACGCGTCTGCAGGAGGGTTTTTTTTTCTCTCTCTCTGTGGAAAGGTGCTGAATTGAATTTCCACTAAAGAACAACCACAATGAGACACATTTTCCATTGCTATCAACAATGGATAGACACTGCCAATGCTGTAAATAGTTTACAGAGCTCACAAAGACAAACACACAAACACACATGCATGTCGAAAACAAATAGATCCGTATGTATGGGTGGATGCACAGCACGCTCACACAAGTTCACATGAGAGTGTATACTGTGTGGAAATGGTAAACATACAAAATGTATTCAACTTTCCACAGCTCTTCATCATTGCAATAGTTTGATGGTCGATGCAAAACAGACCAGTAAATACTGTGTTTCTTTGCTTTATCCTTCTGACAGTCTAAATGTATAGTATAGTTTTGTTTTCTGTTCATTCAGAGCAGATTTATGGCAAAGCTCAACAAATGACATATGTATGGATCATTTCAAACTGCGCAAAGGATTTTATTCTATAATATGACAGAAGCCCTTAAGGGGTAGGGGTAGGGCATTAAAGAACAGGATCAACACAAAGAGTGCAAGCCCGCAGACTTACTCCATGTCACTTTTATTTATTTATTTTGTGGCATGGACTAAGCAAGAGACTTGCTTTCTTAATGTTTACAAAAATCTCAAGTTTCATAAACACACGCCTCTCTATGACCAGGAGGAGGAGCTAGAAATGTCATACTGAAAGTACAATGTTTGTAAAAAATATACTCATATTGAGGTTTATTTGCGCAGACATATTTAAGTTAGTAAGACAAAAGACGTTCATTCTTGCTCTTGAAAGATAGCAGCAAAACCTCAGAAAAGGGTTGCTTTGACTTGGTCCATAACTGTAAGTAATGATAAACACAGGAGATCTTAATAGATAGCTTAAAAAAGCTAAGTTTGCTTGGCCTGCAGTCCTTTGAACTGACCCCACAGTCACACTAATACAGATATTACTTTGTCTCATATCTTTATGATCACAAAAGAACGTGATCTCCAACTCATCTGCAGTGCCTTCATACCCCCCTCCACTTCCTGGTCCAATACTGCACTCTCAACAGGCCATCTGGGAATTCACAATCCAACAGCATTCCCACCCCATGTAGCTTAACCAGCCTAATAAAATGCTTTTAAAAAAAAATATTAATTAGAGCAGTCTGCTTTACTCACACAGAGTCAAAGTTATATCACAGCCAGTAATTCAATGCAGAGCTCAAAACCACTTAGTTTGACATTAATCTTTGACCTATTTACTGTATGAACTCACATTTACCACAAGTGTTGAATTTATGTTGCTGCCTGTAATTCAAGCCTATGAGACATTCCCACAGAAAAGAAAAAAAAAACATTCTCACTGCTGAAGCTTAGAAAGAAACGTAACCTTTCAAGTCTTAGTCCAACATTAGAGAGTCATTTCTGTAAAGATGGTTACCCAAAGCTACAACTTCTGAACTCTTAAAGCTTTTCCTGGATATCCAACAGTTATCAATTCATCAAGTGATTTATGAGCTGACGTTGAAAAACACAGCAGGTCGTATTAGAGCCATGAATTTTGGCAGTGATCTCTTACCATAACAGCCATAACCAGAACAGGCCAGGATCACAGCCAGTGGAGTATTTATGAGAAATAGTCCGCCCTCACATTACTGTAAGCTGGTATGTTACTGTAAACCCTGCATTGGCCAACCCCATGTGAAGATCATTAAAAGTGATGATGGAGGGACGTCATCCAGGACTTACAGTCTGGTCACTAAATCTTTCTTAAGAAATCAAGTTCTTAATGTTAACAGGCTGGGAGAAGTGCAGCCATGTGTGCACACAAATATACACTGTCTGCTCCTTTACTCTTCACCTTTTTCTTTTCAGACAAAGGCACAAAACGTTTGAGCAGACATGAACTTTACAGCACGGTGCAAACACATGAAAGCAAACAACATTTCTCCCATGAGCAAAACATGGGGTAGATGTACAGCATGACCATTCATCAATGCTTAAGTCCAACCACACAGTTTACCACTAAACCACTGATTTACAATATCCCTACTGCATCCTCAAAACACAAGTATTTAAGTCATATAGGTCTCAGTTATCAAAGTAACATTTAGAGAAGTTGCGATACCAGCCTCAAATAAGGCATTAAGTGCAGAACAGATACCTTGAGCGTGCAGCCAATTGACCACATTCACAGCTAGCCTTCTTCCTCTGACTTCATGCTCAAATTCTGTTTGAATGTAACACTGTTGGATTACAAGTTGTAAGTTGTATACATTCTTGGTTTGACACAAATTGTAATAATTTTAACTCAACTAGATTGCTCAGAATCTGTAAAAATGGTGAGCAGTAAAAGACTGGAGGGGAATCTAGGTATCATTTGAATTTAAATGACATATCTGATAAACCATTAACTACGTCAGGCAGCAGCTAACATTAGCATTAAGCTAATAAGTAGCTTATTTTTCCTTCAGCTAAGAAGTAGCTAAAGCTTTAATTGTTTTTTTGTTTTGAACAATTTAATTGGAAAGCCTGTAACATCCAATGAGCCAGAAGGCCTGGACAATTTATGAAAAAAGGGGATGTGCGAAAACATGGCTAATTATTGCGATACAAATATGAAGAGTAATAAATAAAAACTTAAAGAATGTGTTTAAGATATAATTCTATGTCTACTATCTTTTTTCTTTAACTGGTTTATATTATGCCTGCTTGGAACATGTCTCTCCTGAATCCAATATAAATAAAAAATGTTCACCATGTGAGCACAAATTTGTCTGAGGCTAGCTGCTAGCTAGCTTGAGCTTTAGCTGACCGTATTAAAATGCTGTGAAAGCATGACCATTATACCCAGTTCTCTCTTCCATCTGTAAAATCTATGTATGGAAAATAAGAAAGAATTGTTTGGTTACAATCATTTATTGTTTATTATTTATTGTTTATTATTTATTGTTTATTGTTTATTATTTATTGCGATAGATTCAGACATTTGTGATGCTAAGCCTTATTAGCAATGGAAGTTGGCTCTATCCTAAAGCTAGCTATTAGATGAGGTAACCAGCAAGTTATCAAATACAATGCTTTAGTTGAAATGTGGCCTGTGTTCCTAATGATTGATTATCTTTTCAGTTACTGATCAACTTTGAAATGATGATGATTTGTAAGAAATTCTACATTTATACAACTGAAAAACTGGAGAACAGCAGAACATTAGAACAACATTCAAACCTCACACCCTGGGTGTGACATCAGAGGAAAACGACCGCCATGTGAATATGGTAAACATACTGATTCAATATCACAACAACTTCACAACAACAAAAACATCTGGTTTCAGGGGAATTATCCTGTAATTATTATAATCAACAGTAGGGTGCTTGCAGAAAGTGTGATGTCATAAATCTGAGAAAAGATAGTTTTTTTCACAATGTTAGATTCTACCTTATACCGATCTTGGAGAGGTAATAAGGATCAGCCAATAACCAAGTCTAGGTATCAGAATCAGTACAGGGAATGCATTTGAACAAAAGTTAATCAGCCGATGTTTTGTATCCTGTTTATTTAAAGGGAACAGTATCAGGCATGGACTCCAAAAACTATGTTTTGTACCCAATGCAGCCAAACCACAATATAACATGTAGTAAAATATTAAACCCACAAACTGCAGGGAAAAAAACAGTTGCTCTGAAAATACGCCTACAGTTCATTTTTGTGTTGTTTGACTTACATATATGTTAGAGGAGGGCTCTCCCGGAGGCAGGGATCCTGGACTGAGGACAGGAGAGCTGGCTGGACTGCAGAGCTCTGGGAAGGGGTTCGGGATGGCTGGGAGAGATGATGTCCTCAACTGCTGCTCCTCCTCCTGTAACCTCCTGGGCAGACAAACATTTGTGGTATGGTCAAACATACTATATAGCACACGTCTGAGGCCGTGACCTGAAACAGCCTCATAAAAAGTGAACAGGAGAACGCTGAAATAAGAGCCGCTGACACATGTGAAATATGTGCTGGAAAATGAGAGCTGGAATTAATAAAGCATTGCTGTACAGTATCTGTGCTCATGTCTGTTTCTATCTGATCTAGCCATAATGAACTGTATCCCAGCAAGTGGAATTCACAGACCCCTGCAGCCTGCTGGCTAATTTTCTGCAATATTAATCAGGCATCAATATTGAATCAAGACATCACTTTAAAGCAGCTTTTAAATAAGGCACATATACTGTAAAGCCTAGAAGAGGAACAGCGATCTGACAGATGATCATAAACTTTTCAGAATTCAGTTATTTAAGAAAAAAAAAAAGGGCAGGTCAGTTAGTGAAATCCTAGCTGGGGCTCTCTCTGAGAGAATCACTGGTGAAGACTCTCTTTCTTTCTCTATCAAACTCTCTCTCTGTAGAGCCCAGCAAGTTCAAAAGAGAGCGGGCCTTTTGATGTTCTCCCATCTGAGCTTGAGAACAGGGTTATCGAGAGGTCAGGCCAGAATAATAAGATCTTCGGGGCCTGAGTCTTTGTGTGCGAGTGTGTGTGTGTGTGTGTGTGTGTGTGTGTGTGTGTGTGTGTGTGTGTGTGTGTGTGTGTGTGTTTGAGACAGAAAGCGTGTAAGACAGAGCACCCCACTACCTGATCATACTCTTCTCTGTTTCTGTAAATTCCTTCTGAAGAAAATGAGAGCTGACACCTGCTCTGCACTGCATGTATGCAACCATACTTTTACCTTTCTCTGCATTGTGTGAGTTAGCATACCTTCTTCTTTCTGATTGCACGCATTGACAGCCGAGGGAGATTACTGGATGCTCTGCCTCTAATTGAGAGAAACATTCGCACTTGGTACTAAAACAATGGGAGTTTTTTTTTTTTTCTTTTTACCTTTTTCCTCCTGCTGGTGCAGTTTGAGACAAAAAGGGAGTGACAGGGAGGAACGGGTCATTCAAGGGCTACTGATAGGGAGTGGGGAGGAGACGTTATGCCCAATTATCGAGAGGGTGTGGATGGATGACAGTGTATAGTGAGAGGATTCTTTTTCAGCAGAGACAGGAGGAAGGATTGGAGCTCTCTGTGTGTGTGAGGCTTTGAATGTTCAAATGTATGAGGCTGGAAGTAGTTAGCTTAAAGCTTGTTGCCATACTGTAGGGTCTATAGGAACTGTACAAGAGCAACTTAAAACATGCTGTGTTTACCCTTTAAACTAAAGATGACTTTAATTTCACTGGAAAAAAATGTTCATTTGTTCTGTTGCAAAAGAGTCAACTGGCGATCTTGTTCCCTTGGGGAAGCATTAATGCTGGTTATCTCACTGTTGTTCTTACACTCTTGGAACGGCACTCTTACAATAAACTATGAACCTTGGGGGCCACACATATGTTTATGTCTTGGACTGTATTTAGAAAAGTGGACATAGCCTCTGGTTTCAAACTGAATCCCATGAAGACATTTCTTGAAATGTGTATTCTTTCTAATGACAACTAGGAAAACTACTTTTTATTTCTACTTCTCCTACTTTTCAGTTGATTTGTTACCTCAGTGTATATTTTCTTAATGAGGTTATAGTTTTAAACGGTAGTTTTGAGTTTTCATCAGCACAGCATGAGGCCTAATATAAATAATGGTTCTATTTAGAATAAAACCGACAACAAAGCTGGGTATGATTTAAGATGCTTCTACCTGTGATTCAAGGATAAAGACTTATAGGAGCATAGCAACCCTGTGTCAGAATACAGTTACTCTGTTTCCCAAAAGAAGAAGACGATTGTTAAGGCACAAAGGGGTGAACTCAAGGATTGAAAAAAGGACATTGATTTCCATGCTAACTGGTCAGATACCTCTTTCTCTGCCTTGCAAACTGTCTCAGCTGCTGGAGTGGTTAAAGTAATGTCAAAATGTAAAACAACACTTGCCTGACAGCGTGGATGTGCATAGGCTGTGACCGTCGGAGTCCACTTTGTGGCGAGTCGGAGGACGATGGGGAGGATGAGGGCGGCTCTGGGGAGGCGTGGCTTAGAATATGCGTGTGCTGACCCTGCCGAGGCTGGTTGTGTTGTTGGTGATGGTGGTGGTGTTGGTTTGAAGAAGAGGTCTGTCCATTTTGCAGCAGTGGGGTAGAAGCTGTCTGTTGACCACTGCAAGTGGAGTACAGGCTCTCCAGTGAAGAGTTCATATCATTAACCAGGGCCTCTAAATCGACATCATCCTCTAGAGAAAATACAGAAGGAAAGACACACATCAAAGACTGTTTTTTTAAAAATTTTTATAAGCTAGTGGTGAAAGTATTGGTTTTCAACGCTGCTGAGGAGGAGGAGAGAAAATGTAGTGCGGGGCAGGAAACACATCACTGAAGCTGGAAATAAACTCCAATAAAACACAATCAAAGAAAAATGTCCTTTAAGTCTGCTGCTTTACTTATAAAAACTTGAGGCATACAAAAATCTGAAGTCTCTGGATAATGTTGGGACTTTCCCCTTTTCTATGTCAGTGTTTCTACCAATTCATTGTGGCCAGGATTTCAACCTGTGACCTCACTTTGCACCAGCTTAATTCTAAGTAATACTAAACAAGAAGAAGAAAAAATGCAGACACACACACACACACACACACACACGTTGCTAACCAGCATGACTATCTTGACGACTTACATTGTGCTGCCCTGTGAGCCAAATCTGCAAGGATAACAGCTACGAGTACAAACCTGCCTGTGACACAGTTCAACTCTTACCTCTGGGGTTCACAGCGAAGGCAGCGTGCTGTAAGAATCTGCTCTGAATTCACAATATGTATCAAATATTCTGCTTTTAAAAGGTCTTTAAAGGAAAGAGGTGGAATTCTTTGCAGACAGGGGAATCTATCCTCAAAGCCGCCGTGAAAAACCTCCAGGCACATTTAAATTCATGAAGTGAATTTTTCAACTGACTCCAGCAGCATGTTGAATCAAAGTTTGAAGCCAGCTCGATTGAAGGGAAGGCCCCGCTCCCTTAATTGCTTCATGCTGTGAAAGTTTTATCATCAGGGTGAAGCGGGTGCCTAACTTTGCTCTTTTTAAAATCAGAATCTGCAGCAGTGACTCATCGTATGATTAATAATTCCTCATTATGAAAGGGGAATCTATCTCATGAATTCATCATTAAAGCTCTGTTTCCAGGTCCCTCAACTGTACTGTAGGACACAAAATCACCACAAGGGGGAGACAAGTTCTACTTGTGCAGGCTGAAGGCTCACAGATGTGCAGAGTTCATGTGAGGGGACCACATATATGTTAGGACACAACATTTAAATAACATGAATACAATTTGTTATCAGATATGGCCGAGGTTACAGTCATATTTCCTTTAAGTGACAGAAAACGACTGGATATGTAAACGTATTTCTATCTTGTGTTTCTATTTCTAACAATGTACTGAAGTATAAAATCAACTGTTCAAAATTTTTGGCCAATTTGCAACATTAAAACTATGTTTCAGCACAGTTTAAGTTATGTTCCCCTTCATTATCATACCAGATATGCCCCTTTTAACTTATTTTGCTGTGTTTTTATAATTATGAAAGAAGAAGTCAAATCAATCTGAAAAAAAGACAATGTGTAAACATTCTGTCCGCGCCGATGGCTAGAAGATCAGAGCTGTACAATTGAAGAAAATGAATGTATAAAACGAGCATAAAAAGCTCCAATTCTTAATTTTAATCATGCATTTAGCTGTCACAACTGCAGGGCTTAAAACGTGTCATGTCCTGTATGACTCATGTAGTTTCCTACAGCTCAGGGTGCAGGACAGCTGACAGCTGGATCATGAGAGGTTGTGCGAGGGTCACACAACTCTAAAGCAGCAAAAAGTCCCGCTGCTCAGCAGAAAGCAGACACTGGAAAACAGCAGTCTGACTGATGGAAAGTTTAAAAGTACTGGTTTAAAACTGAGCCTTGATGGGAATGAGTTTACTGGGGAGATACGTGAGATTTTTCAGATTTTCATGATAAGAAAATTGTTACAGAGGGATCTACAAAATAAGTAGTAGCGTTAGGATCGCAGGTTAATAAACAGCTCCTTCCCTGGATGCAGTAACATGAATTTGTCTCCAGCCCTCATGCTAAAAGCTACGTGCTAAAACCAAAGTGAGGAGCTCTTCCAGAAAACGTGTCAGGTCGCTGTATCACCGGTGACACTGAATCACAGGTGGTTAATCTGTAGGTATTAATAGTGACAGGTAAGCTGGAGCAGCTACTTATAGATATCCTGGAGAGCTAAAGAGTTATATACCACAGGACACAGGATGCATACAAGGCCATACACAACAAGGCCATACACAAGGCAAGAGAAAGGGCAAAACAACTCTCAACACAGGAGGGAACACCATTATTAGTCTTAAGGGTGAGTGCTTATAAAAAAAATGTATAAAAAATAACTTTCTAAGGATAAAAATATCTTCTGGTAAAACAGAAACTACATCAAAAGTGAGCAAAATATTCTTCAAATCACTTTACCTCAACTCTATCATCTGCTCATCATCCATCATTCTCACTAGGTGAGACATGTGCCCTCAAGCTAGGGAGAGAAAATACATTTCCTCATGATTCTGACCTAGTTTGGCCTCACGAGGAGAATGACAGATTTGTTTTCATACAAAGAAGAAACACAACCCACAGATGTAGGGTTTTTGCGTCATTATTAGTCGTGGCCTCCAATCATCTTTGCATGTCACAATCAGGCAAACAAAGGCCTGCGTCAGGCACACGGGTGTAAGGCAGACGGCTTGATGACACAGACTGCATGCAGGCAGGCACGCACACACAGGATTTAGAACAGGAAGATTTGGACCAGGAAGAAAACCGACTTGTCTTGAGGTAAAGAAAGTAGAAGCTATGCCAGATGACTTAGCCTTGGCAGGATGACATGACATTATTCCTGTCCATCAAAAGCTCAAGAGGACACATCATGCAACAACATATAGCATATATTAATTAAATCCTCTCAGGCAGCAGGGAGCATAAAGAGCTATAGATGGATCTGTGGACGGTGATGACATGAACTAACACTATGGATATTAACTGTACATTTTAAAAGATCAAACTGATCTGAGCTTTATTCAAGTTAGCATGTACGTATGCTTGCATGATTTGAGAAATACTATGCAAAGTGCATAACATCATCAAGAGCTATACGTTGCTGCGTTTCTTCATGTTTTACACAACAGCTGTTTGCAACATATTTGTCCTGAATCCAAAATAGTATAATCCTTATTTTCACCACTAAATTGGCATCAACTAATCTAAGGGCAGCTGATCTAGCTTGATGGGTAAAATGTTATCCATCCAATAGGTTAAATGTTAGCATACTCAGGTAGACCGCATTTCTTGTTGAATGAATGAATGAATGTTTTTTTTTATTTTGGTCATTCATTAAAGAATAACAAGAGTCAAAAAATATTTGTGTAAATAGTCCACTTACAGAAACAAAAAACTTTACATGCTTACACTTCTCCATTTCACCCAATGAAATTCAAACAATCAATAACCAAAAAAGGAATAGGCTGAAGCCCAAGGTTTATTTCTGCCTATCCTGTAAAATAGGTCAGAACATAAGCAATCCAACAAAATATAACAAAAACGAAAGCAGATAAGCTCTAAAGCATTTCTTAATTATTCATCATTTCACGTTGTAATCATTAATCATTCATTTGCACAATGAAACGAGGATTCTTTTGTCAAAACAGTTGTAATATTTGTTTTCTTCTTAACACAGAATAATTTTTCTTCATACCTTTTTGATGATTTTTACATGATTTCATGCTCATATTGCGATTATGTTGAAGATATGAATAATTACAGAGGCCTTTTGCATGTAGCATTCATCTGAATCTGGGAACTTGCACTCCAACCTGGTGCAACAAAAAAAAAAAGTCTACAGAACAAACTAAAGATAAAGTATATTACCAACAGCGCAAATCTTAGACACAGTACAATCTATTTGAGGCTCCATTGACCATAAAGAGTAATCTCTGATGTGCATCATAGAGGCTGGGGGTTTTGGTATTTCAGACTCTGCAAAATAAAATGTGTACATGGGCATAAAAAAGGTTATTCTCATAATCAGAGCTTTTAATATAATATGCAACATTCAATCCAGTAGATGTCGCACTTTAGCACCAGCCGCTCCTAAATATGATTTGGTTCTTTTTTCTTTGAAGTATTTTCTTCAGTTTCAAAATAAGCTGGTTCTCCTACAAAAATACTTGTGCAACAGCACTTTGCTATGCTATGGCTCTACAAACAGCAGCCTTAAGTGGGCGGAGCCATCTCTTTTCTTGACGTGATAGCAGGGCTAACAGTTAACATAGAGGGGTTAACATAAACAAAATAAAATAAAACATGCTTGAGCCACTGAGTACCACATAAACAAGCCGGAGGAAGCACTGTCCCATCAGTGTAAACACAGAGCGGAGAACCACAACTCATAGGGATATTGACTTCACTTCAGGAGGTCATTACTCAATAATGTATTTAGTGAGTGTGATATATTGTGCGCCATAATAATGTTCAAAATGTTGCATAATATATTAAGCTTTTTTTAAGCTGTTTAAGACATGAACGCAAACATAGGAAACAAACCCTACATTAACACTCATTTTTTACAAATCCTTTTTTTAAGGTGAGTGATTATCCTGAATCCAATCATCTTAGGTTGTTTGGTTAATACTGTGCTAAACGGGATAATCTCTAAGTAACCCCTTTTAATATTAAAAAAATATTACATTTATTTCTTCATCAATTGAGCCTTTTGTAGTCATTATTATTTTTTTATATAATGCTTGTTTTGCAACATCTTCCCTTTATCTCTCCATCTGTTCTTTTAATAGTCTCAAACTCCACTGCAGAAGTCATAACCCAAGAAGAAAACTCAGCTGGGTCAAAGGATAACACTGGCAGTATTGTATTGGCTCATTGTTTAATTTCTCCCATGGCTTGAGTTCAATCAAGCCCCCTCTCCCCCGGCCCTAAGAACCTAGAATTTGTTAGATTAGGGGTAAAAATAGCCGCTGTTTCATCTTTTGTCTGAACCACACTAAATGAAGTATTGACCAACGGTTCAACTACTTCATTCTGATAGAAGTCTGCATGAAAGCTGTTTTGAATGTCTCTGATCATTGGAAAGCCAAAACAAAACCACTGTAAAGAAGAACGATCCATATGGCTCTCTGTTTTTTAAACTCAGGAATGTAGGCCATGCATTTTTTATTCATTCCTGCTGGTGGCGGGGCAACAATCCTGTAGAAAAGGGGAATGTAGGTATACAGTACACACACACACACACACACACACACACACACACACACACACACACACACACACACACACACACACACACACACACACACACACACACACACACACACACACACACACACACACACACACACACACACACACACACACACACACACACACACACACACACACACACAAGACTGACAAGGGGGATAAATACAAGCCCAGCAGAGGGGTTTCCATTCACAGGGATCAGTGGGGGGATAGACAGAGCAAGTCTAAACTGTAAAGCGTGGCTCTGCAGTGGGGAGCACAATGGTAGTGGTGACAGCAAAACACACCCACCGAGGGCCAAGCCTCCTGATTGGGGAGGAGGGAGAGTGCGGGAATTTTAGTGGGAAACAGGAGGGAGGGAGGGAAAACAGAGATGAACATGGAGAGGAGGGATTGGGAGTAAATAGAGGGACAGGGAGACAGAAACTCATTTTGGGGGGGGGGGGGGGACTTTGGAACAGGAACAAGAAAAGGGAAAAAGGAGAGTGGGTTCTTACAGGGTGAGCATTACCGAGAGATACAGTGATTTTACTTCACACAATGTCTAATTTCACTTCATGGAGTAAGAAGCAGTTTTTGCCTTTTTAAATAAATAAATAAAAATGTAACTTCTCGAACATCACTATGCGTTTAAATATATTATGTATATATTATATTTGGCTCAATGCATTCCAAATACATACAAAATGAATGATATTCACATATGAATCAACTTACTTGCTTGACAATGCTACATTTGCTTAATTACATTAATCTAAATACTAAAATACTAACCTGTTAATATTAAAATTGTGAGCACTTTTGAAGGCAGATGTTAGCATTAAGCATTAACCATAATGGTTTTAGCTTCAAATAGCAGCTAGAGATGGCTAAAGTTTGTCGTTGTTGTGCAGAAGATGGATATTCATCATGAGTCTGGTTTTGCTCAAGCCTGCCACTCTCTCCATGTATTTGCGCTCATCATATGTCACTCTCCCTCTAAAAAGGCATTACTGGAATGAGTGTTGGTGGGAATGCAGGGCCAAACCTTCAGATAAATGAACTGCAATGGCATCATTGATGGGATTTTTGCCTTGCAGGTGCATGCCCATCTGAGTGAGCCCCCCCGCCTTATATACTGTAGAAACACAAATGTACATATGTTGGACACATTATGGTAAATGGTAAATGGACTTGTATAGCGCGTTTCTAGACTTCTGATTACTCAAAGTGCTTTTACACCGCATGTCACACCTACCTATTCACACACTGATGGTAGAGAGAGGTTGCTATGTAAAGTGGCTATCAGCATTAGCAAGCCATTCACAAGCATTTATATGCAGCTGACGAAGCAGTGGGAGCAACTTGGGGTGTCTTACCCAAGGACACATCGGCCATGTAGCTGCAGGAGTTGAAATCAAACCCTGAACCCTCCGGTTGAGAGACGACCGACTACCAACTGAGCCTCAGCTGCCCCCATTATAAATGTCAAAGAACAGTTTGTTATGACATGGGAACAGATGCTAACTGTTGCAATCACACACGCTTCCACCGTCCTTAAACACAAGAATATGTCCACTGAATTTTGCTTGACAGGTAAAGATGAGGAAGTAAAAAAGTAATGCAGGGCACATATAAAAACAAAGAATTGCAGTGTATTTAAAAAAAAAAAGAAAAAAGAAATCACACTAAGAACTGTATTAAAGCATTGCACTTGCAGCAAAAGTTTGTCACCATTAGACCTACCCAAAACTGGAATATGACTACAAAATAGAAGCAAGAAATGCTATACATCCTCACTGCATCTATGAGACAATTAATTCTGAAGTCACTCTGGTGCGTGTCTGAGAAAAACAACAAGCAGTGCAAGCCTGTGACATCGCATCTGTGAGAGACTGTAGAGCACTCACGTATGTGTCATGCCCCGGCTCAGGACAATGTGTCCTCAAGATTCTCATAGTTATTTAAAGAAAGACCTCCACTGGGCCATTCATATCAAACTTTCTAAAACCCTCAACTTCACAGTAAATTAATATGTGCAAGGCAAAATCCACGGCTTACATGTTGGGAGTATCCTGTGGAGCAACTTCTATTTCTAGACGTCAAATATTGCCTTGCAAATGCCCCGATAAGCCGCTCAATCGCATCTCATTCCAAGCATATGAAATAATGGCAGGTCATGTTCCAACAAAGCTGTACTGTTCCCCCTCAAGTTAATAGGTTTATGACTGTTCTAGCTTTGTAGCAATTCTTGCAAGTAGCTGGTGGCTCTATTAGGGTCCAAAAGTATTAAAGAGTGGGTTTCCTGGAAAACAAGTTCAACTACGTCAGCAAGGATAATCTTCCCACTAATAACACCAGCAGTACTGGGGCATAATGCTAAATCTCTTCTCAGATAACACAGACTTTGTAATGTAGCTTGCCGACTACAAATGTTCTCCAATTATTTGTGTAACTCAAAAGAGAGAGAGAGAGGGCAGTATAAGATCTTTAAATGTCTAAAAAAAATAGCTCAGGAGTCCATTTCTGACATAATCTACTGATATTTTTCTTCCAAAATATCATTGATCTGTCAATGTAAACAAATTATTCATTAGTTAAAGTCATCTAGATTTGTCTGCCTCTCCGGTCCCTCAGAGATCCCTCCATCCCGGCTGATTTCTGTAAAATGACAATGTCATTTCTGCTCCATTTATTTCTCATGTTGGAGCCAAGCGTTCTAATTCAGTCGCCGAGTCCTTGCAGACTCCCCGCCCTTACCTCCCATGCTGAGCCAATATTGTGCTTAAATCTCATGCTCCGATTGTCAGGGATGAACCCTGTATGGCACAATTAGATAGGCGGCGTAATTATAATGGCACCCTGTGTCCACGCGGATCACACTTTGAACTGCTGAAATGTTTACAGCGGAAGAGACCCAAATATATATTATCCCCCCTCGACCCGCCACCCGACTAGAGGAGGATAATGAGTAGCAAGCCGCTTCACACTCTGTACTGGAACTACTAAAACAAACACACAGACACACACACAACACCAGTGTAGTAGTACCAGACTTGGGTCATATCTTTGACCTTCTTGTAAACACGCATGTATGAAAATAAATCATGAATACATTAGAGCTTCTGTGATACCAAGTCAATGTAAAATAAGTCCCAAATGTGCACAATAACATATGAAAATATGATATGTGTAATTTGTTGGCAGATTAGTTGGGTTTAAGCATTTCTTCTTTTGTGTCATACATCACCAGTGTGCCCACACACACACACACACACACACACACACACACACACACACACACACACACACACACACACACACACACACACACACACACACACACACACACACACACACACACACACACACACACACACACACACACACACACACACACACACCTATTGATGGCTAAGACAGACCTTGATGGTTAGGAGAACTCCGATTGGCTGATTGCTGGAAGTTCGGACCAATGAGATCAGCTGGCCTGTGATTGGAGGTCCGGTCTATATTGTCCTGCTGAGAGAGTGAGAAACAAGGACAACATTATGTCATTCTACTGGGGCTTTTTTTTTCTCTTTTCTTCACAAACGTCACCTTTTCAGGAACTATAAACACAACAACAAAAAAAATAGAAAAGTGCAAGTAATTTGCTTTTAATTAGATGAAAAAAAAAAAGTGTTGTAGCATTTTATCCCATACTATGTTCTTATTCCAATGAACTGTTGTGTATCAGTGGTCGGAGAGCATAAAGGCAAATCAAAAAAATGTCAGTAGTAATTTTGTGGTTTCGTTAAGTGACCAGTACAACACCAGTTCTTTAAACAGAAATGCAATGTTATTTAGATATCAGAAAGTAAAGTAGGTAATAAGTGACCAACGTGAAAGATAGGTCCAAGCCACAGACGGGACAAAGACCACACACAGCAGAGCAAAGGAGTTCTTCTGCTATGGTTGAATAGGTACAAAGTTGTGATTGATCTAAAATGTTAAATGTGTGGTACAGGCAGCATATATTTTAATATTCTTTCATTCTTTTAATATTGTATTGTTTTGCACGACTCTTTCAGTAAGTAAAGCTTATTCTCTGTTTGGATATAAAAACTGGTCAAAAGAGACATAACTTGAAGTGAAATGTCCAATAGTTCAAAAACTTAACATGAATACAAAAACATCTCTTTAAAAGTTACATAAAGTGCAATTGTTTTTAAAAAAAAGTTAAACTAAGATCAACTCTGCTGATGGTACACTGCTTGTGTGAAAACCGTGCGTGATGGGTGTGTATCAGAGCACAGGAGATAAACCTTAACCACAATGTCCTCGCTTGACTTGTCTCTCTCTCCATTATTCTCACAGTCACTGCAAAAGGGCTCAATAAGAAGAAAAATATTTTATTTTCACAGATTTCCAACACCTCTAACTTCAATATAGTTCAATGGTGGGTTCCCCATTGTGTGGATGTGTGTGGATATATATGTGTGTGTGTATCGGGGAAGGGGGGGGGGATGTCCTGCTCAGAGCCCGACAGCACAAGTGGGAACAGAACGTCCTGGGGCGGTCCACTGTGCTCAGAGAAAGAAAAAAAACAGAAGTGTGTGTGTGTGCGTCTGTGTATTGCAGCAGACCTCCTCTGATGCTGTAATAAAAGCTGTTGCCGTTACTTGTTCTGCCTCATTTACAGTACAGTTCTCTGACACACAATACAGGCAGCACCAGGGCTTTTTGTGCACACATTTTTGTTTCTACTGTACATATTAGTCTACCTCATTTTCCATGATACATTCTTTTTGCCTCACGTCAGTTTAAGTTATCTTTGATGACTCAAGAATCACTAAGCTATGAGTATTGTGACTCTATAATAATGATGATGTCATTTTAAGACCCACTTGTAGAAAATGTCATTCAATAAAGCAGGTCCAGTCAGACATTGAAAAATGTATGTAAATAAAAATGTTAGTAATTTTATATCCGCATATATACGCATTTTAGAGCTCAGCTTACGGCTCAGATGTTATAGACTCATACATAATACTGATCATAAACTAACTTTACAAAAAGGACACAAAGGGCAGTGCAAATGAACTGACTCACTGTGCTGATAGAACGTGAAGAAGAATTCCACTCTGAGGCGTCCATTCTTTAATACAAGAGCTCGGCTGCAGAGTTTGGAGTGGTACAGTCCATGGTTTTGCAAGCTCTTATTTTCAGTGGAGATGAAATCGCAGGTGTTCCTCCCTGGAGTCTACTGGTTCAAAAACTAAGCCTACACTGGATATAACTGCACACTCAACGTCAATATAGGGTCTTTTCCACCCCCCCACCCCCCGCCCCCGCCCCACCAAAAAAAACTCTTCTATACCAACTAACCCAACCGCATCCAATCATTACATCGCATTGTCCCGTCTTTGTATTGTCTCGAGTTCCAGCCGTCTTTGGTCGCATCGGAAAAAAAAAGACTTTCGGAGCTTAATGGGACTAACCTTCTTTTGCAGTAAAAAAAAAAAAAAAGAAGTAAAATAACCACCGCATCACCCCATTTGTTCCCGTGACATGGCAAACCCCATCATCAACTCTCACTGTCTGGGGGTCCAGCTACCAGACTGTGACTGATCCCTACCCAGTCACCCAAACAGCACTGGGACGCTGGTTGGTTGGTGGGATGGTAAAGCACAACGGTAGTGTGTGTGTGTGTGTGTGTGTGTGTGTGTGTGTGTGTGTGTGTGTGTGTGTGTGTGTGTGTGTGTGTGTGTGTGTGTGTGTGTGTGTGTGTGTGTGTGTGTGTGTGTGTGTGTGTGTGTGTGTGTGTATTCAGGACAGGATGGCCATGGTTCAGCTCCACTGAGCAAAAACGCAGGGAGTCTTTCGGACCATATACTGGTCCTGAATGCAGTTTTGCATGGCTGTCTGGGAGTAAATGAGTTAACACACTAAAAGGACTAAAAAGGGCCTTTAAAGCACACCTTGATCTCTTTTGTGGATCTTACCCACCAAAATCCGAATCCTAGACAGCCTTTGAGGCCTCCATAGACAATGGACAGAATGCTAACTTGGGGATTTCATCCTATAGCTACTGGCCATTTTGCATAATTCTTAGCCATGCAAATGCAGACTTGGAATAAGGTTTTACTTTTATAGGAGCTTTTAAGGATGAGAGTACAAAGAGGAGAGGGAAACATATATACGTAGACACACTTGTTTTCTTTCTATCCACTTTCTTTTATGGCGTTCTTGCTCTCATCCTGTCATAGTATCACACAGAGTCTTTGGATATAGACACAAAAGCATGGGCGCATGCAAGTTGCTTGAGTTCTTAAATTGGGGTCACAACAGGACCGAGGGTAGGCCAAGTTAGACTAGGAGCAAATAAGGGGAGGTGGTAACTGCGAGGGGTTCAGGGTTCAGCTCTTAAAAAGGGGTCAGTAAAAGGCCAGGGACAAGTTTAACGCACTGAAAGGACAGGACACGCACACAGGGCTGCAGATCGAAGCTTGAACAAAATGGAAAAGACTGAGACGCATGTCAAACTTAAGCCTTTAGAAGAGGTCAGACTGAGGTCAAATGTCGTGACCAGGGATTGTATATGATCCATGCTTTGCACGCTGAGTGGTTGAAAAGGACAGCTGACAATAAACTAAAGGTTTAATGATTTTTTTTAAAAAGTCCATTGGTGTCAGATTTACCCAGAGAGAATGATTCCCACAAAGCTTTAAACATATGGAAATCTTTCTCAATGTTCAAACTTCAGACCATCCTGCTGAGAGCATAGCACTGACTGACACGGTCCTGTTGCAACATATGTGACAGTAGACAGCCAGAGGAAATCCCTTCTCACATAATTATTCAGAATGAGATCAGGGGGTCACACTAATGTCTGCTCATCTGCTCTACTGCTACATTTATCTGTTTATACAGTAAAAGCTCAGCTGGAGCTGAAGCTGCTGTCACAGCACAGCTGTTCACTTGACAGTAAGGGCTAGGAAATATATTTACTATTGGTACATTATTATACCAAGATACTGATTTAAAAAATACATTCATAAATAAATACAAATCTAAGAATCTCACAGCCATTATCAGGACATCACTTGTTTGGATAAATGTGGAAATAGTTACTAGTTTCTTTCATCCATCCTGAAGCATATAATCCTGATATTTTGATGCTTATGGATTCAGAAAACTTTGGATATTTCTGTTCTTAAAAGCTGATATTATGCTGTATGAAGGGAACTTTGATGTTGCATAGGTTTAAAATGTAACTTTGTTCCTTTGCACATTTTTGTGACAAATGTTCCACAAACATATCAAATGAATTACAACATTGAAAGCCCCAAGAAAAATACATTACATTTTGTGATTTCTAGGTACACTGGGGTGTTATGGGAAACAACATGATGCTTGTTAATGTTTAGCCCCAGATCAAACAATCCAGCTCTCCCAGGCTCTCTCACAGCCAAATCAAACCTCCAATGCTGAACTCTTCTTGTTGTTCCAGATATCCAACATAGATGTGCAGAAGCTGAATACAATGGAGGGCATACAGAACTTTCATACACGACAATATCAGTCAACGGGATTCCTTGAGATCTGCTGACACAGAATCTTTGATCCAATCAAATTGTATTATTCATGAGAGCCAAGGTAACACCAATATTACCTCATAAAGAGTATCATAGGTTCTGTCATTCTTTCTTTAATCAGCTGTGATCAGCCACATACAGTCCTGATTTACCACGTTAGATTTGCAACCGTTTGCACATACCTTCATTTAATCAGCACTCACTATCATACAACAGAAACAAGATTCAAAATGGAGATATAACCCCTGTGATTTAAGTATGAATGATATCTGACACTTGAATCTGTTCTGAATGGCTGCTGCATTTTTATCTGGGAAAGTCTTCCATAACTGGAATTTCACAGTGAATGGGTTTTCTCATTCAGCAGGTCAAGGAAGATCAGTTATAGCTGACTGCTTTGCAAACAGACGAGTGAATGTGTGTCTGTACATGTGTGTGTGTAAACCCGGGAGTGTGTACATTTTGGAACAAATGCTGCTGGTAAATGAATAAAATAAATGCTGTCTCTGTATTTCTGTTCAAACCATCCTAGAAACATGACAAAAGCTGAATGATTTGATTTGTTTGAGGGGGGGCTATTATTGCATTAAGCACACGTGGTACGCAGAGAAATAAAACCTATACACACATCTCAGTTTGGACACTGCATAGCCCCTTTCACACATGGAGTCCTGAAAATTCGAGAAAATTCCAGGACAGTTTGCCCTTGAAATTGTCCTTTTCACACATGACCCTCGCAGAAGGAGATTTCCCCTGTCGTTAGGGGGAATGGGGGGGGGGGGGAGATGTGTAAGGAAGCAGTACATAGCCCTATTCAGAGTACTGCTGTTTCAAAGCCTCAAAGGTTGGACTGATCCCCCCGTATACCGTCTTCCGAGGTAGTAACAGAGGTGTTACAGAGGTGACATTGTTTCAGCGGAGCCAGCGAGGTAACGCAGCACAGCGCTGTGTGTGTGAATGCATATCTGACTGTGTGTGTATGTGGAGCTCCTGTTGTGCCATGCTTCTGCAACGCCAAAAAAGTCATGTGAATTCACAGACTGGGACACCAACATTACGCCTTAATATGAACATGATGACGGCTGAGTTTAGTTATGGCACTCTTGCAGTCTGAAAGGAGCTCATGATGTAAAAAGTACGCCGTGGAAGACACCGTGTAATGTCAACACCTCACCCTTAACTAAAGGCCTGTTACCTATTGATTTTATTTTGATTAGATTAGTTTCTTTAACCGCTATCATTGACTGAACGATTACAAAAATCTGCTATTCTCACAACACAAGGGGATTCATCTTTGCAGCTGAAGCAATAAAGCAGAAAAATAAGAAAAATACAAGCAGGTGTGACCTTCACTTCACTCCACCACAAATACAAGCAAATCATGACACACACACACACACACACACACACACACACACACACACACACACACACACACACACACACACACACACACACACACACACACACACACACACACACACACACACACACACACACACACACACACACACACACACACACACACACACACACACACACAATCCCTGGTGTGGATCTCTGGTGTCTGTCTCTCTAAGCCGCAGTGATCTGGGAGTCTCTAGAAGGCGGAACTCTCTGACCTCTAGTAACTCGGAGGTCAAAGGTCTTAGCTAAACCCATGGTCCATATGACAGGCAGACAACAGAGCGGTTTCTGATCAGGCTAATAGTGCTACCGCTCGAATACAAATGTTTGTAAGCCCTTTGCTCCATGGAGGCTGATGTGTGAACAATTCAACTAACTCTTAAACCTGACTGAAGGTTGAAGGGTAAGTCGAAGTCAAGTCTGACCTTACAGACCCAATGAGAAGTCAGTACTTTAGGTCGCAAGCAATAAAGCGGAATATAGTGCAATAGAGAGAAATTTCTCCAAAATGAAGCAAACTTCTTCATCAAGGAGGGGTTACACTCAGTTTAGCAGAACTCCTTATTCACGGCCTGTACAACTGTCCATGGTGAACTACGGGTACTTACCAATACTGCATGATTAAACAAAATAAGAATAAGTGGAAGAATATACATACAATATTTAACTAATTGAAGAGATGAAAAGATTCAACCATTACTGATATGGCATCAGTTACAAAGATGTATTGTCAAATGAAAACAGTCCTTTTCTATCCAGATACAGCATTGGTTTTATACAGGCATGACTTTGCATTGGCATTCAGTCATACTACAAGATGATATCATCTATAAATCAATCGAGGATTGTTTTCTGCATTAAATGTTCAGTATGATCATTTTTATACATCATATCATAGAAACTTGTAGGTTAATATTGATGTATCTGTGATAGGTCCATCTTGGCTGATTATAATGAACAGTATATCAGACAGGCTGTAATAACTTCTCACACTAAATATGTATCTTTTTTGGCATATAGAAGTTTAAATGTGACTTGTCTGTGGTTTGTTTTGCTGTGGGATTAACTCAATAATGTGGAGCTGAACTGCTCATAACATGAGCTTTTAATTATCATCATATTCAAATTATTAAAGTTCTGGCTTTATAATGAGGTCAGTAACAGTACATAGACCTTTCATCTATTCTTAAAAAAGGCACAAGTGTAGAACATAAAAATACAACAACAAAAAAGAAATAAACGGCTACAGAGGGGAAAAAATACAAGAGAAAACTGACTTTATTCCACACCATGGAGTGGTTCAGCTGGCCTACAGACAGACACTTTATGAATGCAAAAGAAAAGGCACTGGTCCGTGCGTTTGAATGCCAGTAAATGGGCCGACCACAGCATCAAAATGAAAAGAGCAGCAGCTACCTGGGGCTGTGTGAGCCAGGAGAACATGCGTCTGTGTTGGACCAACACTGTTTAACAGTCCGTCACCCCTGCAGCTCTTTCTTCATTCAATGTGTTAACAATGATGAAAGGTTGTGACAACTCAGGTGAAAACTTACAGAAATGCCAAATATACTTCTAAGAGAAGCCGAGAGAGAGAGAGAGAGAGAAAGAGAGAGGAAGAGAGAGAGATAGAGAGAGAGATGAGTGTGGGATATTTCCCAGATAGTTGGAGTCTTATTACACCGATATTTAAAAGTGGTAAAAAAAAGTGACCCTCAGAACTACAGAGGAATAAATGTCACCAGCTGTCTGGGCAAAGTGCTCTGCAGCATCATAAACTCCCGGATCGTTGACTTCTTAAAAGAACACAATGTTCTTCATAAAAGACAGATTGGATTCATGCCTCGCCATCGCACATCAGATCATATCTTCACCCTCAGTACTCTCATTAACCACCATGTACACCAAAAGAAAAAGAAAATGTATTCTTGTTTTGTAGACTTCAGGAAGGCCTTTGACTCCATTTGGCATGAAGGACTCTTAGGGCATAGGGGGTACAACCTATGATTTAATTAAAACCATGGATTTAAATAACAGATGTGCAATTAAAATTGGAAACAAAAGAACAGGCAGTAGCGTGGGGTGAAACAGGGCTGCAACATGAGTCCAACCCTCTTTAACATATATATTAACACATTCACAGAAGAATGGTGTGACCCTGCAGGACACAGAGGTCAAATGTCTGATGTTTGCTGATGACCTGGTTCTCCTGTCTCCCTCTCCAGAGGGTTTACAGCAGAGCCTGGACATCCTCCACAAGTTCTGCCAAACATAGACACTTACTGTCAATATGAACAAGACCAAAATAATGACCTTCCAAAGCAGATCCAACTCTCAGAGAAACACATATTCACATTAGGAAACGTAGAAATCCAGCACACTAAACAAAACACATATTTAGGCTTAGTCATCACTCCCACTGGACATTTAGGCATGGCTGTGAATGAGCTGAAAGAGAGAGGAAGAAGGACTTTTTATGCCATCAAAAGAAAAATTCAGATTGACATTCCAATTAGGACCTGGCTCAAAATTCTCAATTCAATAATAGACCCAATCATTTTATATGGTAGTATGGGGCCCATTAACCAACCAAGACTTCCCCAAATGGGAAAAACACCCGCTGGAAGCCCTGCATGCAGAACTGTGTAGAAACATCCTGAGAGTCCACAGGCACACGGCCAGTAATGCATGCAGGGCAGAACTCAGCCAATACCCTTTAATCATTAAAATCACATTCTATAAACACCTCCAATCCAGTGACCCCCACTCCTACCAGTTCAAAGCCCTTCAGTGCCAGGAGTTGAACCCAGATAAGAGTAAGCTGCTGATCCTGAAGCTCTGCCCTCAAACACCAGGGCTTCAGGACTCACCCCAAACAATCTGGCCTAATCAAATTATCTCAAAAGAAAAAAACAATTATATCAAATATTGGAAGGAAAGCACCAAATCACAAAGTAAATCAAAATTCTATTTGAGCCTAAACAGAGAGTACAAGCTGGCAGAGTACCTGAGCACAGTGATGGATGTGAAACTAAGGAAAACCATGACGATGTACAGACTGAGTGGACACAGTCTGACCATAGAAACAGGCCGTCACAGACAGAACTGGTTACCCAGAGAGGCCAGGCTGTGTTCACTCTGCCATCAGAATCTCACTTCCTCCTACACTGTGACATGTATAAAGATTTAAGAGAGGCTCTCTTTAATTACATTGATAATAAATATCCTGACTTTCTCCATCTCCCTGATCCTCAGAAGCTGCTCTATGTGGAGAGAAAAGTCTGTGTGCAGTACAAGCTGCTAAATATGTTTATGATTCTCACATACCAAGACAAAATACACTGAATGTTTCTTAGAAATACACTGTAAAAATGATTAACATTATTCTTTTTTTATTCTGTTTTTATTCATATTTGTTATATTTGTACACTGTATATATTGTAATCATTTGTTGATCTACATTTTTTCTGTACTGCTTTGGCAACATGGATTGTTGATCTGTCATGCCAATAAAGCTCATTTGAATTGAATTGAGAGAAAGAGTGAGGGAGAGAGAGAGAGAGAGAGAAAGAGAGAGAGAGAGAGAGAGAGAAAGAGAGAGAGAGAAGAGAGAGAGAGAGAGAGAGAGAGAGAGAGAGAGAGAGAGAGAGAGAGAGAGAGAGAGAGAGAGAGAGAGAGAGAGAGAACGGCAGGGAAAGGCTGTACTGTTGGCAAGAACCACAGTGACCTGAATCCACACCCTCACCTTTTTTCAGAATTCCTGGAAGAACTTCTGCATTTCTTTGAGTTCCTCTATGATGGTTTATTATTAGTTTAGTGTGTTGAATGTATAAATAATACCAGGTATCTGACTTACCACAACAGACCTCATAGTTCATAATATCATCCAGCTAACGATTTCCCAGGAGTTTCATTTGAGGCTAATGTTCTGGTTTGAGGTTTGACAATGTTAATCAATATAAAACAGGGCCCAATTTCTATCAGTATTTCTATTCAATGTTGTTTTTTTTCTAATAGCTTATAACAAGCAAACTATGAATGAACAGTATTTCAGCAGTATTTTCTGCTCAAAGATAGATTGTAACCCACTGAAAGGAATTGACATTTACCTGATAATTTGGATGATGCAGGAAATAATCCGGACACCCAGCCACAGCCATATTCTGTGTTCCTCGCCTCTCTCGGACAATGTGTCTGGTTGGATTCAGTTTCAGTACAAGATGAAGAGAGCAGAACCTGCTGAGAAAGAAGAGCAGACAAATGGAGGTTAGTGGAAAACTACAAAGGAAGAAAAGGGGAGGGTGAAGAGGTCCTGGAGAGGAAGGAGAAGAGGATGACAGAAGGAAAGGAAGATGAAGTCTAGCTTCTGAGGAGACAGATATAGCACAGAGCACTTCTTAACCCACATATACTCACAGTAAACAACAAAGCATCAAGGGGGGGACACTGGTTGGTCAAAGAAAATGTGAAGCATTTCACTTATTCTTGATTATTTCAATAGTGATTTGACTTTTGTTGTATGACAGTATGATGAGTAGTTTTTTTTGCAGCTCCCTGAAGTCCATTGTTGTTTATTAATCAGGGTAAAGTGCATACAGTGGGTATGCTATCAACCAGGCCGACTCAAGAATAAAACCACATTGCAACCATAAGCAAACAACTTTTATTGGTCTTTAATAAATGACTGAAAAATCTGTTGAGGCCTGGTGCATAACTGCAAAAGAAATGTAACTCAGGAGCCTTTAAAAAGGTGTTTTTCTGCCCTACCAGCCCTCTCCCCGGCCATCCTTAGGTCAAAATAACCACACATTCAACAACATGGACTTTAGTCTATTTGAACTTCTTAAAGTGGGTATCCTATTAACCTCTTGGCACTGCTGCCGCTGAACAAACACCTGTAAACACGGATCCAAAAATACCCTGCAGGCACCTCTCCAGGTCTTAAGTTAGACCCCGGGGTATTTTTGGGGGCCAAGCGGCTCGGCTCATAACTATGATTCTCTTTTATGCAGCAGTTCATGACCCCCTGCAGGTATTTCAAAAATATGACCTGCCAGTTTATAGCCAGCTAATATTATCTCATGTTTGCAGTAGCGGTTTTCAGCATGCTGCTGCTCGGGCTGTAGTGTGTGCATACAGTGTGTGCACTCATTTCTGCCTGGACGTGTGTTTCTGCATGCTTACTTGTACTGTATGTAGTACTGTGTGCATATGCTGCACACATGTGACAGAGCGTGGGTGTGTGAATGCTCTATTTGTAGGAGTTTTCAAGGTCTATGGGAGGCTCTGAATACATTTGTGGTTCTTGAATATTCAGTGTACAGTAGTGGGATAACTTCAGTGAAAAGAACTGCAAACAGAACTTGGTGTTTAATAGCTTACTTCACACCAAAGGTGACAGAGCATTTTTATATGAAGTGTGTTCCCATGCAGGAGACAATATTGTTCATGTACGTTGGGATGGAAACACCTTAAGGTGGGATGACAAACTGGTAGGATGACAGCAGTAATATATATGGCTGACAGTCATTAGCAACTACTATGTTAGAGCAGCAGAGAACTACTTTCTGGTAAAAGAAAATAAACAACAAAAGAGTGCTGCTAACAGAGGGTACATCATTAGCTAAAGCTAGCTCTCAGTGCTTATGCTTCAATCAAATTTGAGCTTCTTTTTTCATTGCACTGGCATCCTGGTATGAGCCAATCCTCAGCTTTATATCTCCTTTCACACGTGCACAAAACTACTGACAATTTTACCATAATATTTGGGGGGAACTGCATGTGTGATCGAAACGACCATCATTTTTTTTTTTTACTTCATTCCTGTTAAGTTTCCGCAACAAGTCCTATGGAGTTGATGTGTGAACACAGCAGGAAATATTCTGGAAAATTAGCCACAAATGATTGGGCAGGGTGTTTCCGTTAATATAATGCAACTAGTGGGATCTTTGTTCATCTAATGAAGCGGCTTCATTCCCTTCACTTCTCTCCAGGATGTGTTTTCCCACTCTTTCATTTAAACTGGGAATACTTCTTATACTAACATGCAGAATCGATCCGGGGTACCCCCCCCCCCCCCCATGATTTTTCTGAGCTTTCCTCTTTCCAAATTCCAAAAATGAAATCAGTTTTTTTTTTAATTCCTCCAAAATGGGCTTGCTTATAATGAGCAAACTATGAATGCATTCTACACAAAGAGCTTGGCACCATGATCACTTGGGCCCATGAAGAGGCCTGCTTGTTATGAATGTGTGTGTATATGTGTGTGTGTTTCTGTGTGTGTGGCCGGGACTGCTGGCATGCAAGGACAGCTCGTCATTTACACATTATTTACAGACACACAGTTTACAACAAAAACAAAACAAATTAACATCAGCCTAAACTCCGGAGCGGCCCCTCATTAGGCGGCCGCCACACACTCACTGACTGGCTGCAGCTGAACTGTATGTTTATTATGTTTCAGGAGTCAGCAGGTTGTGCAACAGAGGCAAAATTATACCTGTACTTACAGCATGAAAAGCTAAATCAGGTTGTGTGCCACTGGGGCTTAAACCATTATGAAAACTATTGCCTTTATAGTATATGGATTAAATATTAACCATTAAACATTAACGAGGTAAACGTTTGGCCTGTCAACATCCTGGGTGTAAATTCTGCTTCATCTGTGCGTGATAAAACATGGGAAAAAGCTCAAGCGTTCCATGTCGCATTAAAATACCTCGCAACTCAGGTTTCAAAGTGCTCATATGTGCCACAGTGACTCTCAGTGACTGCTTTATTGTCCAAACACACACACACCTTTGCTTAATTGCTCCATGACACAATCAAAGCCATTCCAGTGTAGGGATTATACCCTCAGAGCCCTTTGATTTGATTCCTTCTACTTGAACAGCATACTGAAAGCTAACCATGTCTGACCTTGACAGTGCAATTACCAGCCCGCTGTTGCTGCACTAGAAAGGGGAACTTTAGGTTACGGCGGGCTGTACCCAGCGGTGAGGTGACAGCATCTGGATTAATTAAAGGGATTTTTTTGTTCAAAGTTGCACGAGGGAGACTTCAAATGTAAGTGCCATAATAAGGCCCATCGTGAATCATAAATCTGTCCAGCTCAAGCGCCAATGATTCTTCACTGAGATGTTCTGTTGTGAAGTTTCAGCAACACGCACCTGACGTTGAAAGGGAATATTTAGGGCGCACTCACACTAGGCAATCAGTACCGTGCCCAAGATGGACTTTTAATGTCATTTTAGTTTCATGGAGGGTCCTGCTGCCAATCGAAAATGTTACTCCTTTAGCAAACACTTTGCAGCAATGTAAGTTGAATGTGATTTGAACCTAATGAAGGAGAAAACACAATGTACCACCGTGTTGGACTTGACCCAATAAGCCATAAAAACAGTACCATTATTAAATAAGGACCTGTACGACCTTAAATGTCAGTTTCATTTGACTTTGTCTGAGTGCACTTATGAACCTGTCAGATCCAATAGAGAGTATATGTAAAGGTTAAAGGTCAACACTGTGGTGTAACTCTAAAGAAACTATTTGACCTCTGAGTGCTACATGCTCTGCTGGATGTTACAACATATAAATAAAGAGTCATTATTATGATCAGTCGTTACAGAATAATAAAACCCTCCTCAAGAGCTCATCAACTACAATCAACAAATTCCGCATCAAGTTTTGAGGTGTAGCTGATCTTCAGCACGTACTGCTGGGACAGCATGCTTCGTCAGTCTAGAGGTTAATGTGTTGATATTTGCTTACATCTCCAGGGTCCCGCTTTAACATCTCAAGGTGATAAGTCCTGCAAGGAAGCCAAAGGCGAGGCCGGGGATCACCAGAAACCTGAGCTATTTAAAGCAAAGCCTAATTGAAACAGTAGAAACAAACAGTTTGCCTGTTTCACATGCTGGTGGATCAGAGGCTGGCCAGCTCACCACTCCAAACATGGATGTGAAAAGGACTTTAAAGTGCTAGGACGGATATGAGACTCCCCAGCAAAACCAACTTTATGCAAATGTCTTCGCAATGTGAAAATATACATTTGGAATCATGTATATTAAATCCCACTTATAGTTTTAAATCCAGCCAATACTAATGAAGGCCATAACTTCCTCCTATATTAAATAACAAGTTACCAAGTTATTTCCTTTCCATAACCCTCGAAATCAAAGAAGTCCAATAGAAATACCTAGAGGGTTCAATAGAAATATCTCACTTTTAGCCCCGCTAACTGTGTGTGGACCAAAGCTGAAATAAAGTAGCATAGAGACAGTATTTGATTCAACCTGTTGCTATGGTGTGTCAGTCTAAACTGTCACCCTGCCTGTTAGTTTGGTTTGTATTTCTGCCTGTCTTGTCTTTTTCTTTTTACCTGTTTGCTGTATGTACCGGTGTTAATGTGCCTGCCAGCCTCTTCACATTTTGACAAGATGTTGCTGATTTTCATGTATTTCTGTCCCTTCCTAATTAGGAAAAATATTTTGGTGGGTTATTTTTAGAGAGATATTCAGAAAGTAACTTAGGCATGACCTTGTGTAGTCTGCAGTAGTGATGTGTCTGGTGACTAATATCTCTGTCCATTAAAAGGGAATTTGAGTGTAGACTAGTCGACTAGTACAGAGTAAAGGTAATATATATTTTTTTACATAGATAAAGACTGTCCATAACCATATTGTGCCTAGCCTATTTAATAGCTATATGGAACAGCATGTTTTTTTTTGTCCATTACTCTGTGGTGTGTAAAATTGGTTTGTGTGGCTAACATAAGCATTGTGTGGTTATATGCCAGATTAATTTTTCACAGCCTACAGAAAACTTTATCTCCATTTTCTAGTTTAAAATACAGACAGACCGCGATGCTCTTCAAGATACCATCCATCCACTGTGCTGGTTTACAACTGTGCAGTCGAGTGGGGAGTACAGTACAGTATAGTGGAAGTTTTCTGCTTTACAGTACAGTGTAAACACAACATTTAACACTACATTACAAATAAATACGAACAATAAGTTTGGCTGACTAGTGTATCTGATGTCAAGTAGTGAGGGGGCACCATTAAATTGTTTAGTCGACGAATCGCGAGCATCCCTATTCTGCGAGTCAGGGAAGGCAGAATACCTTCAATCTGATGCAAAAGAAATCTCAAAAGTTCAAGAAAGCACAGCTATGAAAGGTATGGAAAATGTTCTCTTTACAATTTCCTCCAACATGAATGAAATCAAACTATAGCCTATTAAAGGA